AGGGCAGTGGTTCTCAACCTGTGGGTCGCAACCCCTTTGAGGGGTCAAACCACCCTTTCATGGGGTCGCCCTATTCATCACAGTAGCAAAATGACAGTGATGCAGTAGCAACAAAAATAATGTTATGGTTGGGGGGTCACTGCCACGTGAGGAACTGTTTGAAAGGGTCACGGCATGAGAAAGGTAGAGCACCACTGCTCTAGAGTGTCTCGTGGATGAGAAGCCATGGTTTGCTGAGAGACCTGCCAGGCGCCACCCTGGCTGAATGACAGTTGAGGCCAGAACCCAATTCCCTCTTGGCTTTGCCCATCTCAGGTTTCTAGGGACCAGCCAGGGGTTCTTGTCTGTGTTGTAGGCCTGACGGGGGTGCCGGCTGTAGCTCTTGCGTCTCTTCATACTCCAGGCCTGACCCTGCGGCCCTAACCTTGGCCAGCAAGAGGGGAAGAAGATGCAATGGGGTCTCCTCCTCCTTCCTCAGCCCCTTCCCCAGTTGCCTGATTACCACAAAGCATTCTCCCTTACAGGGCTCTGTGGACTGCCCCACTCTGGAGTTTGAGTATGGTGATGCCGACGGACATGCAGCAGAGCTATCAGGTATGGGCTCCATAGAAGGGTCTGTAGAGAGGGACCAGGAACCCTGCTGGCCCAGTGGGGGCTGCTAACCTCAAGGTCCGCAGTTCAAAACCACCAGCCGTGCCGCAGGAGAAAGATGAGGCTCTCTGCCCCTGGAAAGATTTAAAGTCTCAGAAACCCACAGGGACAGTGCTTCCCTGTGCTATGGGGTCGCGCTGAGTCAAAGAGACTTCAGGGCAGTGAGTTCTTCAGCAGAAAAGGGCCGGAGGAGAGGGAGCTTGTCTGCTCCCAGCCAGGGGCCCTGGAACAAGTCTAGCCATGCATCTCTGGCCCTTCCTCTGGTAAAAAGTCCTGTTTGCTTTCTCAGTCCTTCCCGGGAATCCTCGGGCCACATTCTCCATCCTTTCCTTCTGCACTGCCCTTCCTGTCACTTAGCTGCCCACCGACCCCTTCTGTACTCTTCTGATGGACCCTCAAATTTCCTCCTCTCCCCACTCCCCCCTTTCTCCCTGTCACCATATCACTGCATGCCCCCTTTTGGCTACCACCTCCCCACCCTGACCCTCTCTCCTTGTCTCCTCTACCCTTCCCGATTATGCAGCCCCTGCGTGGGGCTGGATGTGCCCCGTACGTATGGCCTCTGCAGTGGACCTCTGCCCGGCTGTGTCTGGGCTGGGGCTCAGGGTCCCACCCTTCTTCTCAATGCCAGGGCAAAGGTCAGCCTCACCCATTGGGGGACCGCCGTGGTACACGTGCTCTGCATGCCAGTTATTAATAAATGAGCGATGGGGGGAGCGGGTGTGAAAGTCACATGGAGGTGACACTTGGAGACACTTGGCGAAGGACACAATTGTGAAGGCGTGCTGGTGAGCGAGCACGGGAACACTTTCTGTAATGAGTGACGGAGGAAGAAGTAAGTCGAACACCCAACAAAGGCAGGGCATCCAGAACAGGGACGGGCGGGAGACGGACAGCCCACTAGAAAGGCGGGCAAAGACGATGAATAAGAATTCATAGATGAGAAAGCCGAAATGGCCCCTAAGTACGCGAAAAGATGCTCCGTCTCACTCGCAGGTGGGGAAAAGCCAGTTAGCATCACGAGCTACTGTCTCGCAGTCATCAGATGGCAATGCTTCAAAGCCTGGCGTTGGGAGGGGGCAGAGAAATGAGCACTTTAGAGACTGCAGAGCCCAGACCTGGAAAGCAGCGGAGTTCTGCCTAGGAAAGGTGAGGACCCACACGTACGACGGCTGGCCCGACGGGTCTCTCGTGGGCACGTGCCCTAAAGAACCATGACACTTGGACCTAGGAAAACGCGCACGAGGATGTGTATGGCTGCCTGGTTTACCCTGGTGGCGAACGGAGAGCAGCCGGAAGTGCCCTCGGCTGGGCAATGAGTGTAAACTGTAGGCTGACCAGCACACGGCCAGCTGGGTGGCCCTTGAAAGAATGGATCCCGACCAGCATGCTTTCAATAGGCATCCAGCTGGGAGCAAGAGAAGGCACACAGTACCACAGTGACTGAGCCGCTGAAGACACGGACCCATATCCTAGGCTGTTTCTGAGCACATGCGGTGTGTAAATATCAAAATAGGCGCTTGAAGGCCACACACCCACCTCGTGGCAGAAGTTACCTTAGGGAGAGGAATAAAGGGGTGGGGGGCAGGCTCAGATGGAGAAGGGGGGGAAGCAGACAGTACAGACGTGAACCTTTGTCCTGCCCGTGCAGAGGACCCTGAGTGACATAAGAGTCTTCGCCACGTGTCTGCCTCCGAGAGTCCATGACTGCGAATCCAATCGCATAAAAGGCAAAAACCAACTTCAGTGCCCCAGAGTCCAGCTCACCTATCCTCGTGGGCTGGCGGCTCAGCTGACCACGGTGATTCCGGGACAGGAGTTGCCGTGGATACTATGGGGCTCAGGCCTCCAGAGCCCTTAGCTAGCTAGCCGCTGGATGCCAGACGCCTCTCATTTTGTGAGTGACCTGTGAGTTAGCAAGGTCCAGCCGGGGTCCCAGTGGGGGAGCCGAGACCTCAGACCTGTTGACAGTTGTTCATGCTCAGCTCAAGGAGGCCGCCGCTGGCAGCATGTGCTAGAGCAGGCACGGAGGGGCCATTGGGTTTCCCAGCCACCCCGTGCCATCTGCTGCCGGTAAAGTGGGCTCATCCCAGGCCCACACAGCAGCCAGAGCCACTGCCTCTGCCCCGGGGGCCCTGGGCAGGGACAGAAACATCTATACCTGTGAGAAAGTCCAGCGCGGGGAGAAGGAACTGGCTCCAACCCTGAAAGGCCTGTGGCCCAGGCTGGCTGGGCCCTGCCCTGGCTCCCTGTCCAGCTGCATGGGAGCTGGCCTCTGCGTTTCAGGACTATTCCCTAGAGCTCGGTGGGCAGAGCAGAAAGAGTCGTGACCCTGAGGGCTGCCTTCTGTGCTGCACCAGCCAGCTGGCAGGAGGGGGACAGATTTGATGGTTTAATCACCCGGGGACACTAGTGGCTATTTTTAACTGCTCGGAAAGAGAAGAAGCTGGCTCTGGACAGAACTAGATACAGGAATGTGCTGGAAGTGTCAGCTCTGAGCTGACCTCCCCCCACCCCCGCCCCATCGCTGTGCCCCAGGGTCCCTGCTGTCAGAGCCTGCTGAGGGTTTGGGACTGCCCTCTCTCCTGTCACAGAATTGTACAGCTACACCGAGAGTCCAGATTTCACCACCAACCGGAGGTGCTTTCAAGACGACTTCAGGGGGCAAGGTGATCTCCCAGCCTTCTGCACAGGGGCCCTGCCCCCACCCCACCCCCGTGGTCTCAAGGCCGGGCCTGCTCAGATGCTGGAACCCCCCACCATCCCCACCCCCTTCCCTTCTTGCCCATGGGATGCGGGGAGGCTGTGGGAAGAAGCAAGCGAAGCCTCCCCTAGTCCAGGTAGAGCTAGGACCCTGCCTCCCTTAGACCCTGACCTTCATGTCCCACCCCTGCCCCGCATGAGTGTCCCCTCCCACAGCCCCTCACTGCAGTTCTCTGTGGCCCCCTGCCCTCCGGGGGGGGGTGTGTTTCCCCACACAGAGCCCAGGTCTGTGCCTGAGAGGCAGAGGACAGGGGTGAATTTGAGTCTAGTCAGGGAGGGGGAGGTGTCCATCACAAAGCTGTCCTGGCCTCAGGGGACAAGGTTGAGTTGCACCAGGAAGTAGCCGGTGTCTTGTGAGAGGGAGCTGTTGGCTGGGGCACCAGTGAGGGACAGGCCTCGAATTGGGTGTGCAGCAAGACAGCCACACAACGGTTGCGGGCCGGGTTCTCCCCTTCCCTTGCACTCTTGCTCAGGAGGCAGGGAATCTCTGGTGAGCAGAATGCGTCCAGGGCTGTCCACCTGTGCTATCAGGAGCTGTGGTGGGGCAGCGGCAGCAGCTCCCGTGACAGTGACCGGGTCTGGCTCCTGCCCCCAGTGCAGGCCACCGAGTGGCTGGAGCTGGAGGAAGATGCCCAGAAGGCCTATGTGATGGGGCTCCTGGACCGGCTGGAGGTGGTCAGTCGGGAGCGGCGGCTGAAGGTGGCCCGGGCAGTTCTCTACCTGGCCCAGGGTAAGTGCCCCAAGCCCCTCCCCACCTTCCTACCCAAGAGGGGTGGGGGCCGGGCCGGGTCCTGTCAGGGCCAGCCAGGTCTCCAGTCCCACCCACCACCACCACCCCCACTCCCCACCCCCGCTTGTGGAGGATGAGCTCTGACTTGTGCTTAGGAGAAAGATGTTCGGGGCGCTGTGTGGGGCGCTCCAAGAGCCCCCTGTGTCTTCTCAGGCCCCCTCAGAGGTTCTGTTGCCCAAGCCCGGCCTGTGGTCCTCTGTGGACTCTAGTACATGAATCAGGGCCCGTGTGGCCCAGCGGAGGCACAGAGTCAACCCTGGGCTCTCATGCTTGTTTCTCACTGGCCTGGAGAAGGTTCAGGCAGGCGGGTCAAGCGGCTGGGGGTCACTGGGGGATGATCAGAGCCAAAGTGCTGCACCCCCCACCCCCACCCCGCCTTGTTCATCCTATGGATGAGATGGGAGTCTCAGGCTCAGGCCAGCCCTCCTCATTAGAAGCTCAAAAACGGAGAGAAAAGTAATAAATGCAGGGGAAAGAGGGAGGCATGGAGGAAGGGCAGCCCCAGGGGCACCCAGGGCCCGGCCCCTCCTAGGGCTTTTCCTGGAGGAGAAGGCAGGAGGGAGCGGCTGGGGTGCAGGGTGCACTCAGGTGGCTTTGTCATTTCCTTGTCCCTCTGTCACCTCGCGATCTCCACTGTGGGGCACCTGGCAGCAACTCCCCAATAAGCGGTTTGCATTTGAGTCTCTGTCTCAGGATGGGCTGCTGAGCCCCATGGGGACCCTGGAGACCCTCTCCTCTGCCTTGTCTCTTTCATGGGGAGCAGAGTGTGCTACAGGGCTGGCGGTGTGGGGAGATCCGGGTGCCCCGCCCCCTCGCTCCCCCTCACCCCGTGGCCCTGTCTGGTCCTTTAGGTACCTTTGGGGAGTGTGACTCCGAGGTGGACGTGCTGCACTGGTCCAGGTACAACTGCTTCCTACTCTACCAGATGGGCGCCTTCTCCGCCTTCCTGGAGCTGCTTCACCTGGAGAGCGAGTGAGCAGCCCCTTCCGGCCAGGCCTCCCCACCTCAGGTGCTCCTCCTGCAGGAGCAGGGGCCCCGCTGCCTATGGCGTGTTCCCTGGTGCTCCGCTCGCCCCGCGCCAGGATGGGTTCCCCACCTGTGCTCCCTTCCTGGCTTTCCTCTTGGTGGGGGCGCCCGCACCTCCTCTGCTCACCTGATGCTGGAGGCCATAAAAGCGACTGTCTACCTTCAAGGGGGTGACCCGGGCAGAAGGGGGCAGGACGCCCCCTCCCACCAAGGCTGCCCTGCTCTCATGCCTGCCACCAGCAGTTTTGGGTCGGTTCAACAGGGGTCCACGCGGTGCCCCCTCGCAGCACTGGGCTTGGTGGGGATGGTGGGAGCGGCCCCAAGGCCGGGTTGCCCAGGGCCATGGCTGTGCCCCGCTCCCTGAACCCCATCTCTTCTGCGGCCCCGTGCTTGTGGATTTGGCCAAAGGGAGGGAGGAGGGCCCATGGGTGTCTCTACCCCTCTCCCTCCCCTGCTGGCAGCAACAGCCAGGCCTGCAGCAGTGCCCTCCGGAAGCCGGCCATCTCCATCGCTGACAGCACCGAGCTGCGGTACGCTGGGGGTGCTGCACGGGTGGGGCGGGGGACGGAGGGGAAGCGTGCGCATCTGGGGGCTGGTGGTTCCCCCTTCCGGGGAGTTGGGAGGGGACTAGGAGCTGGTGGAGAACCCCCGCGACCTGTGACCGCAGGGTCCTGCTGAGTGTCCTGTACCTGCTGGTGGAAAACATCCGCCTGGAGCGAGAGACCGACGCCCGCGCGTGGCGGGCGGCCCGCGAGACCTTCCGCGCCGAATTGAGTACGCCCGATTGGGATTGGGGGTGGCGCGAAGACGGCGGGGAGCCTGGCATGGCCTGGGGAGGCAGACCCCCACCCCCACCCCCCCACCCCCGTTTGGGTCTCTGGCTGCTGCAATTAAAAGCACCGCCCTGCTTTTCAGGGCAGAAAAGTTGTGGGGTGGGCCTGACCGGCCCTGTAACTACACCCTGGGAGCAGTCACCAAACTTCTGTGCCCTGGTTTCCGTGGTAATAACGTGGTTGCCCGCCTCCCGCTCCCTTCACGAATTCCCCTGAAAAGCTGACTCGAATCACCGGGGGCTCTGAGCACGGCTGACTCACCTGTGGTGGCATCAGGGCGTGGATAACTGGGCAGGCCGGTGGTCCTTTCAGGTAGACCCTTCCATGTGGGAAGGTGAGGTGCAGGCAGGATCCCATCTGTGGGCCTCAGCCCTGGGGCTCCTCTGGGGGTGCTTTTTGAGTGCCTTCCTCGGCAGGCTGCCCCCACCTCTCTCCGTGCCCCCAGGCTTCTCCGTGCACAACGAGGGGCCCTTTGCCCTCCTGCTCTTCTCCATGGTCACCAAGTTCTGCAGCGGCCTGGCCCCTCACTTCCCCATAAAGAAGGTTCTACTTCTCCTGTGGAAGGTGGTCTTGGTGAGTGGCCAGCCCTCGGCTCTGCCCTGCTGTCCTCCATGCAGCTGGGGCGGGAGGGGCAGGGCAGGGAAGCTGCTGGAGGGGCAGCCGGCTGCCCTAGATAAAGCCAGCCCTACATGCTGTGGAAATGATCATGGCAACACATGTCCAAATGTGCTTGATACAATTGATGTCTGGATGGTGATAAAGAGCAGTAAGGGCCCCCCATAAAATGATTTATTCAAGTTTAAAAAAAAAAGCAAGCAAAAAAGAAAAAGCCAGCCCTGCTCCAGCAGGTGGCCTGTTGGTGCTGGACCTAGGGGGGATGCCACTTGGAGTTGGGTACCCCCGGCCCTGCCCCCAGGGAGCTGTCCTTTCCTGGGAAGAGCACTTGCTGGCTGTGGGTCTGGAGCTCCGAGCTCTGCTGATGCTGAGGGGCCTTGAACAAGTCTGGGCCTCCGTTTCTCAGTGCAAACCCCGGGTCACTCCCTGTCCCCAGCCGGAGAATGCAGGGTTTGTTTTTTTTTTTTTTTTTAGGGTTTGCTTTTTTAAGAGAAGTGCCTGTGAGGAGTGGCTGTTCTTTGTCACTAGCTCCTCCGCCCCCCCCCCCCCCCACCCCCCCCCCCCCCCCCCCCCCCCCCCCCTCCCCCTCCCCTCCCCCCTCCCCCTCCCCCTCCCCTGACCCCACCCCCCCGCCCCCCCCTCACCCTCACCCTGGTGCCTCTGCCAGTGAGGCTGGCCAAACAGCAGCCCTCCCGGCAGGCATCAACAGGAGGAGCCGCCTGGCCTGGGCTGCAGAAGAAAGCCAGTGACCTCCAGTTTATAGCAGCCGAGTGTGCCCTTGAGGGGACACGACTCCTTCTTTTGCTGTGGCCCCTGGGAAGCCACTCCTGTGGTTCCAGCCAGGGTCAGGAGCCAGTTGTTAAGGAGGGCCCCTGAGGAGCTGAGCTGTGGCTTTTTCACCTGCTCCATGACTGTCTTCCTCCCCTCTCTCCTCCCCACCTACCGCAGTTTACCCTCGGTGGATTTGAGCACCTGCAGACCCTCAAGGTGCAGAAGCGGGTGGAGCTGGGCCTGCCTCCCCTGGCTGAGGACAGCATCCAGGTGGTGAGGAGTATGCGTGCCGCCTCCCCGCCCTCCTACACGCTCGACCTGGGCGAATCGCAGCTGGCACCCCCGCCCTCCAAGCTGCGTGGCCGCCGCGGCTCCCGCAGGGTACGGATACAAACAGAGCAGCCAGGACTGGCCACCACGCAGGATACTAAGCTCTCGGGGGTGTAGCGGGCATAGACAGTCCGTGACCAGGCTCAGCTGCCCCTGGTGGCCACCCTGTGTCTGTGCTGGCCTCTGTCCCCGGTCCTGAGAGCGGGCTCCCAGGCAGGAGATGGATAGCATGGTTGGGACAGCAGAGTCCCAGCAAGTCGGAGGAAGGTTCTCGGGGAGCAGGACTGCCATGGTGGCTTCACCGCGGGCTCAGGTCCAGCACTGATTGTGAGGCTGGCACAGGCCCCGCTGTGTGTCCTTCTGTCGTCCTCGGGGTCACTGAGTCAGAACCAACTGGCCAGCCCCTAACAGCAGGCTGGACTCAGATCTATGCCGTGCCACATGGGCTTCGGGGCTCCTGGCGCGGGCCTCTGTTCTAAGCTAGCTGTTCTCTGGCATCCTGAACAGACAGGGTCTAATCCAAGGGATTCCACAAACAGGCCCCCCACTCGGCTATGGGAGGCTACCTGCCTTTCTCTCAGCAGCCAGGTTTACTCGGGCCAGCCTGGGACCCAGGGCTCCCATGTGTGAAATGACTGGCGAGGGTTCCAGGGGTGGCCTGCAGCTGGGGAACAGTTCAGAAGAACTGGCCTCTTCCTTGAGCCACAGGAGCCGGGCCAGATGCCACCTCGGGGCCCAGTCTGCCTTCTCGCTGGGCCGGGATGCTCTTTGCACCGTTTCTTCTGTTCTACAGACTAATGCTTACTCGTTGTCGACAGTTTGGAGCAAATATAAAAATGTGAACAAAAGGGGGTTAAAAAAATCACCTACAGTCTTAACTACCCAAAGCAGGCACTCTTAACTTTTGGGCCTATTTCTGTCCAATCTGTTTTTTGCTTTTGCTTTCTGAGATGAGATTTAAAATTCCAAACCCGCCTCCCTCTGCCTGGCAGGAGCTTCTGCCCTGTCTCCCTTTGTCAGCCAGCTGGCGGCTGGCGTCTGCTCCCAGCCAACCAAGCCGATTAATGGAATGTTCACCTAAGGGGGGGGGCATAAGGAGGCGAAGCGCAGGCAGGAAAAGGCGCCCGCGCTTTCGGGAAGCTGAACAGCTACCACTTGGGGATGGTCTGTTCGCTTCCTCGCCCTTGGGGTGGTTGTCTGAAGGGATCAGGCCCGATCCGGGTGCATTAGGGTGGAGGTTGACGAGTAGGCTGTTCTCAAAAGACCTGGGTTCTTAAAGCATGTTCCGTGAAGTCCAGAAGCCTGTGGATTTATGGGGGGACCTAGAGAGGGTGTGCAATCTCTGTAGCCCCAAGGTGAGAGCCCTGCCCCCCTCCCGCAGCAACTGCTCACCAAGCAGGACAGCCTAGACATCTACAACGAGCGGGATCTTTTCAAAACCGAGGAGCCGGCCACAGAGGAGGACGAGGAGTCTGCCGCTGATGGAGAGCGGGCCCTGGATGGGGAGCTGGACCTGTTGGAACAGGAGCCCCTGGTGCCGCCACCACCCTCCCAGACACCCCTCAGTGCCGAGCGGGTGGCCTTTCCCAAGGGCCTGCCCTGGGCCCCAAAGGTCAGGTAGGTTGGGCCAGGCGCCAGGGGCCCTGAGCTTTGGGACCACACTCACAGAAGGCCCGGGGTGGGGTCGTGTGCCAAGATGCCATGCACTGGGTGTGACGTGCACCCTGTTGGCTGCTAGCTTCTCTCCCCCCCCCCACACACACACATACACTGCTCCAGTCCTCTGATGGGCAGGGAAGGGCCCAGAGACGGTCCTCTTTCAAGGTGCGCTCTCCCCGCCCCTCTCTGCCATGGTCCCCGCTCTTCTATCAGACAGAAGGACATTGAGCTCTTCCTGGAGACTAGCAGGAACAAGTTCATCGGATTCACTCTGGGCCAGTAAGTGGCTGGATGGGCTGTGCTGCCCATCTGGGGGTAGAGAGGTGGCTTACCACAGAAGGATGCTGCCCGGTCGTCATGGGGTGCCCTCCCTGAGAGCCACCAGGCCCTGGGCTGCTCCTGGTGACCACTGTGGGTCTTTTGCATGTGACTTTCTGTCTGGGTGGGGGGGCGCTCCCATCCACTTTTCTAGAAAGGAACTCGGTCTTGGCCCGCCCCCAGGACTCTGAGCACCAAGTCGTTCTCCTGGGGCCCGTTTCCTCGGGATCACGTGGGCTGACCCTCTGGGCAGGAGATAGACACATGGCCACCCCTTGCCCCGACCTTCATGAGCCCTTCCCTCCTCGGGCCTCCACCAGAGCTGAGAAGGCATCTTGGCCTGTGGGGACCCCCTGCCCAAGTGACTGCTGGGCTTGTCTCCTTTTATGAGGGACCTAGCACTCCCAGACTAGTGAGTCCACAAGAGACTCTCCGGGCCCCCTGGTCCCAAGGACAGGTCTGTGTGCCAGCGAGCTTTCTGGGTCCTGAAGCTGTGGTGCCCCGGAGCTCACAGGAAGGTCGGCGTGTGAAAGGGGTGTGGTCCGCGTGACACTCCCCCCTTCGGGGGTGTTGGGAACTGATGAACTACTGTGCCCCCTCCTCCTGCTGACCTTCCACAGGGACACGGACACCTTGGTCGGATTACCCAGGCCCATCCACGAGAGTGTGAAGACCCTAAAGCAGGTGCGCAGGGTGGGCCCTCAGTCCTCGGGAAGAGGGAGCCCTCCAGGGCAGTGGGACCTGATGGCCAGGGCCCTGGGTGGTGCTGGGGCCCTTCCTTCAGACACAGTGGGAACTGCCTTGCATTTCTCCCTCAGCCCTTCTGCCAAAGAGAAACCCAAACCGGTCTTGGCCTTTCCCTTCTTAGCTGATCGCCCACCTTCAGGCTCATGAAAGGGCTCTTCTTCCACCCCACCCCCACCCCACCCCACCCCCGTCCTTTTACTTTCTCCTCCCTGCTCCCTGCCACGAAGGAGCTGGGGCTTCTCTGCACCCAGGTGGGCGCAGAGAACAGGAGCAAGGGTCTGTGGCCCCCTCCACCACCTTCTCTCTCTCTCTCTCTCTCTCTCTCTCTCTCACGCCCAGAGGCCTGGGGCTAAGACTGGCCTGCCTCTCCATGGCCCAGTGCTTCATGGAAGACCCGTGGGCTAAGCGTGTACTGGGCAGGAAGTACTGTGCTGGGAGCTAATATTACAGACGTGATGCAGACTCCAGCTCTCAGAGAACATCGGGGTCCCTTTGGGGTGACAGCTCTGGGACCGGGACGTCCTTCTCCTTGTCCCTGGGGAAGCTCAGAAGGGGCTTGGCCCCAGCAGCGGAGAGTGATCCTGGGTGCCCTCAACTTTGCGCTGGTCTACTCTTGTCTTCCCAGCACAAGTACGTGTCGATCGCAGACGTGCAGATCAAGACCGAGGAGGAGCTGGAGAAGTGTCCCATGTCCCTGGTAAGTAAGCGGCATGTGTGTGTGTGTGTGTGTGTGTGTGTGTGTGTGTGTCCCCATCCAGGAGACTGCTGCAGAGCCCTCGCACTGGCACACGCTATTCCCAGGCCCTGGACCAGGCCAGGTCATTGAAGTTAGCACAGGGGGATCCCAGCGGGACCATGGGATAAACTGGACAGTCTGGCTGGCACAGTGGTCAAGCCAGTGGGCACAGTTCACATGGGAGGGCGCGAAAGCTGTGTCTGCAGGCTGCTGCGGCATTGGCCGTTCAGGTCGCCCTGGGAGAGGATGCTGTCTAAGGAAGGGTCTGACGTGGGAGAGAGCATTCCAAGCGGAGGGGTCCGCCCTAACGAGGTCACAGCAAGCGTGTTAGAGGTCACGAAGGAAGTCCAGGGTGGCCGGAGCCCAGGGGACAGAGAGGTGGCCTGGGGGAGTGCAAGCAAAGTCCAGGAGCTCGGGGTGGGGTGACAGGGCCGACCTCAGGCAGGCTGTGACGGCGATTCTGGTCCTGCTGTAGAAAAACCACCAGAAGCGTGGGCGCCGGGGGATTGGAAGCATGGGGGGTGGCGATCAGAAGTGTGGGGACTGGAGGATCGGATGTGGAGCCGTCCCTATAGCTCAGGTGACGGTTGGCGAGGTGAGCTGGGCCGGGCTGGTCCTTGTGGAGACAGAAAACTGGTTGGTTTGGAACACGGTGCTGCCAACCATGGGGTACCGTGGGGGGATTGGATGTTGATGGAGGGGCAAAGAGAGGAAGAGGAAGAATAAGGATATTTACAAGACTCGGGCAGTGTCAAGAGCACCTTTGGGGATGCACACTTTAGGTGGGGCTGGGGTGGGGCCTCAAATGGATAACATCTGACAACACCCACCCAGGGGTCTCAGAACACAGCCTGGCGGGCACTTCTGAAAAATGACTTGAAAATGCCAGGGCCCCACTCTCCTGGGCACCCGTGGGGTCCCCCTGAGTTGTAGCCTCTCATGCCCAGGACAGTGGCCCGGCCAAATAGCACCTTCTGCCTCAGGGGGAAGAGGAGGTACCAGAGACCCCATGCGAGGCCCTCTACCAGGGCATGCTGTGCAGCCTCCCACAGTACATGGTAAGCTGCCCAAGAGGTGCACACTGCCGAGGGCCCTGCCCTCCCCTCCCCGCTGCCTTTGCCCCTGAGGCCAGGCACTTCCAACCTCTGGCCTTCCCTGAGCTGCCCTGGGGATATTGGAAGGGTGGGGATGAGGGATTGGCTGGGGGTGCCTCTGAAGGGCTGTTCTCCCAAGTTCTTCTTTGGGGGTCTGGGGAGAAGGTGGGGTCTTCACAGGGTGCACTGGGGGCCCTCCCGAGTAAGTGCCCTGGTCCATCTGAGGCCCACCAAGGTGTCTGGTCCTCGTAGTGGCTGGCTGGGCGGGGCGAGGGTGCTGATGGACAGGTGGGAGGAAAACAAGGTGGAGACGCTGTATGTGGAGACCTTGTTTGATCCACTATTTCCTTTTATGCTGTTTCCCTCCCCACCCCACCCCCCCATACTTCGTGCCTCATTTCTAGAGCTGCCCCTTACCCTCCTCAGGCCGTCTGCCTCCTGGCAGCAGACTGCCCGGGCAACTCACGCCAGCCCCCACCGTAGCACCCTGCTACCCGGCCTCTCCCTCTCAGGGTGACCCTTTCTTCCCGGAACTGGGAGGCCGGTCTGTCCTTGAGGGCGAGTGGGGCAGGCTGGGAAGCATGGGGCAGGGGTGATGGGGGAGGAGGGCCAACTCAGGACCCATCTCCCCAATTCCTGCCTCCTAGATTGCGCTGCTTAAGATCCTGCTGGCCGCAGCGCCCACCTCCAAGGCAAAGACGGACTCCATCAACATCCTGGCCGACGTCCTGCCTGAGGAGATGCCGTGAGGGACCGCTGGGGGGGCCTGGAGGGTGCCGGCAGGGCGGGGTCCCGAGGGAGAAGCTTCCCCTGTCAGTTTCCAAAACTGTGACTGGGGGAGGGGGGGCGTGTCTTTCTCCCGCGTAGTGGCTGGTGGCCTTGGATTGCTGGCCTTGAGTTAGCAGTCCAGCTCTCTGCCACTGAGTCCCCAGACCCCGCAGGTCACAGCCACAGGAAACCCTGTGGAACAGCGGTTCCACTCAGACCCTCAGGCTCACCAGGAATCCGTGGGTCCCACAGCCACGGGCGGAGCCAGATCCCAAGACTGTAGATGGGCCCGGGTTCCCGACTCTGTCTCGGACTTGTGTCTGACCCAGACGCCCGGGTCCTGGAGGACCCCCCTCTGAGCCGCTCTCCCCTGCAGCGTCACAGTCCTACAGAGCATGAAGCTAGGCATTGACGTGAACAGGCACAAGGAGATCATCGTCAAGAGCATCTCTGCCCTGCTGCTGCTGCTGCTCAAGCACCTGAAGCTGAACCACATCTACCAGGTGAGCCCCGCCTGGCCTGGCCTGGCCTGCCCTCCGGAGGTGGGACCCAGGGCCCTGCTCGCCCCCAGCTGATCCCGATACCTTCCTGGAGAGCCAGGGGGAGCGGGGAGGTGCAGGTGTCTATCCTTGATGCAGCTTCCCAGGAATGAGGGCAGCAGTGAGGAAACCCAAGAGCCCGAGTGAGCGTGGGAGTACACTTGGCCTGAGTGGGCGCAGCAAAAGACGGGCTTTGAACACACCCCAGCAAGGGGGCACGGGTCCCTTCAAACACCCCCAGCAGGAGCCAGGAGTTGGCTGAGTTCCAAATCCGTCGGAAGCACTTTTCCAGCCAGGCGGTGGGGACAGAGCTTGAGTCAGACACAGACAGTTGCAGGAAGCTGTGCTGTGTTTCTGGCTACCTCTTGGTGGGTCCTATGTGGCCAGGCGACCAGGCAGGTGCAGGTTTGTGGACCTGGCCAGTGCACAGTCAGTGATTCCTGACAAGGCCCCGGGCCCAGTTCAAATGGAGGAGAGTTCTCAGCCCCGGGTATGGACTGGCTCCTCCATCCAGGCTCCATAAAACCTCCTGGGCCGACTTCCAGGGAGGCAGCGCTGGCCAGGGAGACATGGTCCTGGCCCACCTGACCTCACTGGACGCCCAGGGGCAGAGAGAGAGCCTGAATATCCAGGGTGCCATGGCCACACCTCACTCGGGGAGAACTCGGGAACTGAGCGCTCTGCTTTTCCTACCCGGTTTCTGCACCAGCCCAGCAGTCTGAGTCCGAGTGCTGGATCTGGGGACAGACTGACTGCCTGGGACACTTTGGTTCATGCTTGGTGAAGCTCAGGGACACAGCCCCATGACGTCACCCTCATGGCACAGGCCCCCACCTGACGCCCCCCCAGCAGCTTGTTCTCAGTGCCCCCTGGGAGCCAAAGGGCAGACCCCCGACCCTTCTCCTGCAGGAAGTCCTGCCCTTCTGCCCACCACCCACCACCCAGGGCTCACCCCAGGGCTCACCCAGCGCCCCGGTGGCACAGAGGCCAGGATCTCGGCTTTGAATCTCACCAGCCACTTGTCAGAGAAAGTGGTGACCGCATGCTTCCGGACAGGCTGACAGCCTTGGGGCCCCTACGGGACAGCGCTAATCTGTCCCATTGTCTCTGTGAGTCCGAATCCACAGGACAGCGGGGCTGGCTCTGGGTCGGAGGGATAATGACGTGCTCCTGACTCGAAAGCTGGAATCCACGTCCCAGAGGTTCCTGAGTGCTGTCACCCCTGGGGACATGCTGTCACCTGCCCGCTTGTCACCCACGGCTGAAGCCTCTCAAACCAGGGGGATGAGGTGGGGGGCACTCCTCGGAGCCTCCCTTTCCAGCGCTGCTTAGGCGCCGGTCTCCTGGAGTTCTTGCTGTGGGTCACCAGGAGGGGCTTCTCGGGCTGCTTTAGGTTTGGGTCTTCGGTCAGGATCTCATGGCCACAATGTGTCGTGAACAACCTGCCTGCCTGTGCAGATAACACGCCCCAGACCAGAAACTGTGCCAGATTCGGTGCCAACCCGTAGCAACCCTGTAAGACAGGGTGGAGCTGCCCCTGTGGGTTTCTAAGACTGTGGCTCTTGACAGGAGTAGAAAGCCCCATCTTTCTCCCAGTGGTTTCAAACTGCTGACCTGGCAGAAGGCAGTCTGACGTGTAACCACGACACCCCAGGGCTCCTAATAACATGCCCACATGTATGTGATGGATGTGCGGAAATCGGCCTAGGGCACGCACAGAAATGACCGGAGCCGTGATTGGAGGACGTTCACACCAGGCCTATGATTCGTGTGAATAAAGTGTCTCCCCGCTCCCCGCACACCACCCCGAAGGCTGAGCTGTGAATTTTCTTAGGAAACACTACAGATTCACGCCTGCCTCTTTTAACCCCAGAGGTGCCCTGGTGGTATAATGGGTTCCAGGCGTGGGGGCCGCTAACCGCAAAGCCAGCAGTTCGAAACCACCAGCCTCTCCTCAGGAGAGAGTTGAGGCTTTCTGCACCCGTAAAGATTGACAGCTTCTAAGAGCCCCTAATAAAATGATTAAAAAACAAAACAAGATTGACAGCTTCAGAACCCAAAGGGGCGGGTTCAGCTCTGTCCAGTAGGGCGGCCGTGGGTCAGAATCAACTTGACTGATGGAAGTGAGCTTGGGCTGTCTGGGGTTCATTTGCTTTTCCAGAGGAGGCTGGTGGCTCTGTCGGGTCAGGGTTGGACTCGTAAGTAAAGGTCAGTGGTTCAAACCCACCCGCTGCTCCAAGGGAGGATGATGAGGCGGGGTGCGCCCGTACGGGTGTACAGAGCCTCGGAAACCCTACAGAAGGTCACGGCTAGCCAGGCACCACATGGCGGCTGTGGGTGTCTTTCTCCCCGGGTAAGACACCCTCTGCTTTGGTCTTCTCGTGCAGTTTGAATATGTTTCGCAACACCTGGTGTTTGCCAACTGCATCCCCCTGATCCTGAAGTTCTTCAACCAAAACATCCTGTCCTACATCACCGCCAAGAACAGGTAAG